TTTTTTATAATTATTTTTTATGGTACAATTTATTATTATTATGTTAATTTGTATATTGTATATTATTATTTCTTCATTCATTTGGTTATTTATCATTTATTTATATTTTGTTTTATACCATATTCTGTTTGTAGAAAATATAATTCTTTAATTCTTTGACTATTTCATATCTAATCATTTATTCACGTTTCTCGTGTTTATAACTTATTATTCTCTCTAATATTTAAAATCACATTATTTTTATTATAATTTATTATAATTATTTATTTTTAATCAATCTAAAAGAATGAAATTAGTATATACTAATTCATTTGTGTAAATATTAGAATGGAGATTATATTTTGATTCATAACAACATAAGAATGTATAGATTTTTCATTTGAAATAAAGATAATAAATGAAAAGAAATAGAAAATGGAAATAAAAAGAATGAATAATAAATAATAAATAATAAAGAAGAAATAGAATATGATTAAAAGAATAATAGAAGAATAATATAAATAATAAGAAAATAGAAGAAAATAAGACATAATGATAATAAACAAGAATTAGATATAATAAAAGAAATTAAACGATATAAAGAAGAATATAAATAATAGAAATATGTCAGAAGAAGAAAAAATATTAATAATTTGTGATTTTCTCCGGAGAAAATCACAAATTATTAATATTTCAAAATGAAATGATTATGAATGTTCTAAAAATAGAATGATGACGTGTAAATACGTAATAATTATTTATAGAAATAGATTTGACGTGGTAACAACTCAAATGTATTTATAGAAATAGAATGATGACGTAATGAAACGTAATCAAATATAAATAGAATTATGGAATAGATAACACAAAAATCTAAAAAATAGTCAGCGCAAAATCTAAAAATCTCAAATAGAAAAGTCAGCTGACTAAACTGACCAAATTATTGTAAAATAATAGTAAAAATATAATAAAATATAATAAAAAATATAGTCATATATAATATATATATATATATTTTGAACCTCAAAAAGTCAGAATATGAATAATATTGACTCACTCAATGACCATATTGGGATGAATAACATAAAATTATGAGAAAAATAAAGAAACACTAAATAGTAAATATGAAGTCGAAATAATAAATAACAAAAAAAGAATATCATAAACGTTCAATATAATATTGTAGTGGCGTATAACACAAAAGTCAGCGCAACTGAATTATTAGATCACTGACCCCAGTATATATAGTAATGTCCATGTGGCAGGGTTGAAAATAACATTCAAATTTTTCAATTGGTGAGGAATTAGGGTGAAACAAAGGTGCAGAAATAAGAAGAAAATGTAACATAGAAACATAAAGAAGTTGAATAAACATACAAAAGTCATAGAAAAGTCAAGAAAATGATAAACATCATACCAATGAAGAATAGAAACGAGAATTAAGAAAAAAAAAAGCAACATAGAAGCATGAAGAAGCAAAGAAACATACAAAACAAATAAACAAAAGAAAAGAAAATAGAAATGGCATATCAATGACGGTTCGTAATAAAAATCATAATAATAAAAATATTAAATATTATACATAAAAATACGAATGTCCTATCAATTAATACGTATTACAACGTAATACGTTATTAATAAACAAACTAAAAATGATTAAATGTTTAATGGACAATAATAATAACAATACAAATTATGAAAATAGTATCAACAACGACCAAGTATTACATTACAAATTCGGAAAGCAACACTTTTTCATTGGAGGAAGTATAGGAACGGGTAAAACCACATTAGTCAATTTAATACTTGAATATATGGATTTTTATTCACACACTGTCATTATTAAAGAATTTATTAATTATGATAAAGGAGGCGAAATCAAGTTGCATCATTTACATAATCAACTTATTAGCAACTACGAGTTTCAACAATACGTCCTCGATTGTTACGAAAAACAATTAAATTCTGAATTATACGAAGAAGCGGATTTTGTTTTATGGGTCAGACACCCAATTGAATCACTAGAAATATTTTGTAAAAACAATGATTCGTTGTCAGTCAAAGAAAGAAACCAACTCGATTTAAGAATGAAACAAATGTGTAGAAGATACGGTATACCAAACATCAGAGATAAAAGCGTCGCAGTGTTAAACGTAGATACATCAAGATTGTCAATTGAAATAATACAAGAAGCAATTATTAATACTTATATACATCCAGCCATGTTAGGAATTATGGAAGGAGATTTATACGTATTCTTGTTCTGCGGAGATACAGACACTCAATTTAAAAGAATCAAGAAGAGGGGAAGAACAGTAGAATTAGAACAATATAAAAAGAAGGAAGATCTGTTTAGCTTAAACAACGTATATTATACGTTTTATTCGAATATAATAGAAGAAAAACTAAAACAGTCTAATTAACTAATTATTATCATTTAATATTTACACAATGAAAAATACAGAAGAATCACCAACAATCACTTCATTAGATAAAAAACCGAAACTATTATTAAGAATTTGTTTCTCAATAGCAGCTTCATTCGTTTTACTCATACTAATTATTTGCATTATAATAGCAGAAATATTTCTCAAATTTATAGAATAAATATTAATTAAAAGAGATTCAATTATTTTTCTTCGGTTTAGTTTCATCACGTTGTTTATGAGAACAGTGTCTCATCACCGTTAATATTTTACCATAATCTCGTACAAAGTTCATAGAAGTAATAGCAATATCCTCAACAAGCTCGGCTTCTTTTTCTAAAATTCGTAGATATTTCTCATCGCCTAAAGTAGAACACTGTTCCTTTTCATATAAGTTTTTTAAATCCTCGCATAATTCCTCTATACCGTCTAAATCAATGAAATAGCTAGAAAGATCTTTAACATTTAAATCACTAATATCACACGCTTCAACACGGTCATCAACAGGAATACTCATTTTTATAGATAAAAAAAATATTCCAGTTTAAATATACAACAAATTCATCACCATAAATAAAAACGTCATAAACAGACACAAACAGGCATAACTCAACGCAAACAGACAATACACGTCACCAAACAGACAAAACTATTTACTAAACAACACGTATTCACGCGTATTTAAAGCACTGAAAATTAACAATATTATCAACGTTATGAACTCTTCCCCCTACATAAAAAACGTTTTAAAAGATTTATCCAAGGAATTATCAAACATTATCAAAAGTTTATCATCAACCAATTTGTCTCCTGAAGGAGATAGTCTAATTCATGCTATTGCCATTTGGTTGAGACGCGTCTCATTTATTAACGAATTCAATTACGATGATACGATGCTCAATTATTTGGATTATTTAATAGCAGATGCTCAGGTATTATTAATAGATAATGAAAAACTGACAGCAATTTTAAATCAATTTAGATTTTTCTATACCAGAGAATATGCTATACACTTTAATTGATTAATTTTTATTACTTTTTTTTTTTTTTTTTTACTAATTATCAATTAAAGATTTATTTGATATTCGTATTTTTTTTTATTAACTTATGTAACCCTCCTTCGTCGGGTTTAATTAACTTGATCAAACATTAATATTATTATCCAATTATATATTATTAAACAATTAAAATAAAAGAATAAAAAGTTGTTATTTATCTTTAGTCTCGGCTTTCTTCGGCTTCTTTTCTTCATCGGGGTATTTATTATTCTTAAGTAAAGCTCCATGTTCTTCGTCTTCATCAGCATCTTCATCTTTCCTCTTTTTAGAGTAACGTCTTACCCATTCGGGTAAATCAACTGTTTTCATCTCCTTCTTAACACCCTTAGAGAACTTCTTCTTTACCCAAGTATTGTATGCATTCAAATTGATACCGTTTTCATCCAAGAATTGGGATAAACGTTCACTACGTAAAATACTCTCAAGTTTTGATCTTAATATACGACTTCTCTCTTCGTCATCTTCAACTTTACCCGATGAATTCAATTTCCAATCCATATAGGATGGTTCTTTCATAGTATAATACAATTTTTTAACAAATGTATTCACTTCTGGATCACGTTGGCTTTCAATATAAACATCCGCTATATCTTTGCTCAATACTTCATAATGGATATCGTCCCTATTTCCATAAAAATTGGTCATTAATGTCTTGTTATTAAATTGTATTTTTTACCAGTTTAAATATACAAGTTCCTCTCAATGACGTAATTTCCAACGCATTTCCACGCCAGCAAAAACCTCATCACTTAATATAAATAGAACCATTTTTTTTTCTTTCAAACATTCAATGTCAACAAACCAATTCTCATCCGAGCCTACCAAATTAGATTTTATACACCTCAACGAATCATTAAAGTCTAATAAACCACTACATTTCACCTCCAGATACCTATACCTTACACTATGGGGCGATGAAATAAAGAACAATATTCAATTCAAGGAAGTTGTGGACAGAATGGCAGGAGCGACCAGTAACGTGCAATATGCACATATATCACCAACAGAACACGATGAAATTAATCCTCGTCCACACCAACATATGCTAATAGTATTAAAAAGACCACGTTCCTTTAAAGCCAGACCAATAATTACACATTCTGATGGAACCAGACAGACTTTCTGGTATTCCAGAGTAAATTCATATACATCACGAACAGGCGATATCTCCGCAATAATCAAATATATAACTAAGAAGGGGGAAGGGATACACCAAGGAGATCCAAATAAGAAGGAAGAATTAAAACAAACCTGGATTAACGCCCTGAACGATATGGACTCATATCGAGACTATAAAGAATTAGAACAGAATTTAATGGAGATAAATGCAGAAAAATATATCCAACAAGAGGGACGCATTAAAGCTCGTTGGATGAGGAAGAATGCTAGGAGAATAGACATGGAACAATACACGAAAACGGATCTACTTCCATGGAGAGAAGATATGGAGGAGATTAAAACAATCAGAAAGTGGATAAAATGTGCCTCAGGAAACAAATACCGTATGGGAAATTTATTTATTGTCGGCCCAACAAAGACAGGGAAGACAGAATTTGCTGTCCAGGAAATTTTTATGAAATATAACACGTTTATGTTGCGCGGAGATTCCCTGTTCGATACCTATGACGATGAACAGCATTATAGATTTATTTTATTAGACGATATTAACTATGATAAAAACACAGTACGTTTAATTAAAGCCATTACCTCAACAATAAATAAGAAGACTGTGGTAAATATAAAATATTCAAAAGCAATCGTAACTGCAAGACCGTGCATCCATCTGCTTAATCAGAAAGAATACGAAAACGTTGTAAATTTAATGCGTGAAAATGGAGGATACTCATGGTGGAGAAGAAACTCTTTAACGGTCTTCTTAGATAAAAAGATTTATAAAGATCCACAAGAATCTGATAATCCATCAGAAGATATGCAAGAACAAGAGACTAATTATGACCCACAAAAAGACCTCGAAGAGAAATATACTGCTTTAGAAGAACAGGATGAAGATACAACCATGCAAGAGGATTATACACCAGAACATGTTTCATTCTATAGTAGAATGACAACACTCATGGCAGACCTAGGCTATGACGAAGACTTCTTAACAGAATTTAACGATAAAATAAAAGAAAAAAGAAGAAACAATCGACAATTAAAGAAAATGCTGAGAGAGTCTCAACAAGATAACGAGAGTATCCAAGAAGAATGGAACAATGATTTAGAAGAATACCAATCAGAAAACCCCCTAGGCATGACGAAAGAAGACTTTAAGGACTTTGAAAGAGAAACTATGTCTTCATATGAAAAGCAAAGAAACAGTTACTTTGAAAAACATATGGATTCTTCATCTGATGATTATGATGAAGATTATGATGAAGATTATGAAGACGATGTTATGAACAATCCAATGGAACACAGACCTTTCGGAGGAAAAAATGATAACATGGATATCATCTACGATTAAGAAAAAAAAAATAAATTAATTTATTTCTTTTTATCTTTCACCATTGATACTTTTGTTATTTTTCTCGGTTTCACTGTTTTATCCTTCTTCAATGCATCTTCCCATGCATGTTTATTGATACGTTCCATAGTACGTTTTAGTATTAAATTGTTTCTTTTCGATGCACTCACACGCTTTTCATATTGTCCAATTTCATCGGCCTCAATCATGTTATACACGCCTCTGGGAATAGATTCAGTAATATGCCCATTAATATCAACAACTTCTCTTTCATTTTCTGGATTATCATAATATTTCTTTACTCGTTCTTTTATTCTTCTTCTAGCTTCTTTGTACCACTTCTCATAATCATATTCATTATAAGATGAACGCATCAAATCATTTGTCTTCTGTCTATAATCTGAAGCAATGGGAATAGCATCATATTTAGGTTCAATTTTATGTCTACCCATTATTTCATATCCACGATTTCTTTCTCTCGGTGTAAATGTTTCATCTCCACGTTTGTCAAATCCGGAATTTGAATCAGAAGAAATATCATCTCTTATCATTCTTTTTCTGGGTTGTATTACACTCTCAGAAACATAAGAATCTGCACCACCACGTACGGAAAAACTCTGAGCATATTCAACAAAATCATTAATATTTATACCATTTCGTTCAGCTAATTTATTTGCAATAATCTTAGCACCCGCATTTCTATTATCATTCCAAGAACCTCGTAATTTATCAAAATCATGAGAAGCAACATCCAATTTATAACGAATTTCATCAACATTAGACTTATCATCCATAATACCACTCAAAACCATCATCATACTTTCGTGGAAATTTTGCATATCATTAACAGGAACAACATATTCAGCATTAAAAGACTGAGCAATATTTTCAAATTGTTTCATAATTGCATTAACATTACTTATTACATCTTTATATTGTGCACCTCGAACTTCGTTATCTTTTATATACTTATTAACATCTTTAAAACGAGAAATTAATAATTGGCGAGTATTTTCAAATGCCTTTTTACTCTGTCTCATATCCGGATCATCACTATAAAATTGTTCTTCTCCTGCATTTATTATTTGTCCCCTCTTTTTATATGAATTCATATCGTTTTGTATACTATTCACCAAACTTATTACACGAGTAATTTCTTCCGTTTTACCACTACCAATTTTATGTATTGATGAATTAAGAGCTTTCACTTCACTCTCAAGTATTCTCATTCTTCTAGTGAAATTAGCGGGTTCTCTTTCTTCCAATAAATCTTTAAGTAAATCATTTAATGGTATTTTCATATGTTCAGGTAATCTATTAACAACATCAAAAACATTTTTCCATTCTTCTGATTTCTTTTCTAATTTATCAAGACGTTCTGTATATAAATTGACCTTATCTGTAACAGCATCGAGTTGTTTCAATGAAAATCGGTTCTGTTCAGCAAGTCTTGAATCAATATCCTTAATAATTCCTTCTTGTTTCTTTACATAATCATTAATTTGTCCTAATAAAGCATTTACATCATTTCGATTATATGTATTAGGTAATGTCTGATCAAACCACTTAGCAGCATCATTAACATCCAATTTAGTCCTATAAAGTAATTGTATTTCTTTTTGAAGTTGGTTTTTATATAATTCCAAATCTGCTCTAACAGCATTTAAATTCTCTGGACTTATTGTATTCAAATGTCTAAATTGAGAATTTAAATCATCATATTGTTTAGAAAATACCATTCCCATATTCCGATAAGCATTAGATAGATTCTGTAATTCATTCTCAAAAGCAGGATATTTATCAATTAATCCTCTCATGACATTAACTCGTTCTTCGATATTTTGTAATCTGGAACCTTGTTTTTCAATTAGAGGTTCATAGAAATCTCTGAAAGCATTTAACTCTGCACGAGTAACAAATATCTCATTATTCCTTTCAATTTGAGATACACGACGTTTCAATACCGAATTTTGTTCCGTGAGATCCCTTATTTGAGTACGAACATTACGAGGAACAAAATCACCAAATTGTAATTTTAATTCATTGATCTTATTCACATTTTCATTTATCAATTCTCTATTTTCACGAACCAAATCTTCAACTGTAACAAATCGTTCAGCATTTTGTTTATATTTTTTAATTGCAGACTCTAAACGTTCAATATGATGAACATTTTTAAGATTATCCTGTTGAGCACGTAGAATAGCTCTATACAGACTTTTATTATCATCATCAATCTTTTTCTGTCGTTTATTATTCTCTTTATAAAAACTACCTTCTTCACCTAATCGTTTATCTAATTCCCTACTAACTATATTTTGAAGAGATTCATCTGGAAGTGGTGGATTATAAGGTCTTCCACCAAATTGATAAAACTGTTGTTCATTATCAATGGGTTGTTTATCATATTGTCTGGAAACATACTTTCCAGCACTATTATAATAACGGTTATTTCGTTTGTTATAACTATATTGTCTTCTCCTTCGTCTCCACATCAAATAACCAAATAAAGTTCAATAATCAATTAGAGATTAACATTATGTTCTGGCAATCCATCATTTGGTATTACCAACCCACCGTTAGAATATGCATTGTTAGCATTATCATAAACAGTCTCAGGATTAATTGATGGAGCAAATCCATTAGCAATAGCTCCAACTAAAATATACGGAGGTTGAGCATTAGGAATATTACTAGGTACAACAAGTCCATTATTATTACGAGCATAACCAATAAACCCGGCATAAGGTTTGAATGAATTTTCATCAGTAACAAGTACTTTTCTCAAACCTCTCAATGTAACATCAAATTGCCAATGAATAGTAAGAGTACAAGCATTGGCAACATTAACAGCTTGAGGAGTTTTTATAGCGATAAGTAATTGAGGATTCCATGCACTATACATATTATCCATACTAAGTACATCTCTAGTATTAGTTGTTGGTAAATACATAGACTTTTCCATCATAGATGCTGCATCTAATTGTCTCACTACTCCCCATCTACTACCATAATACAATGTCTTTTCATTTGCACTAGAATAAGAAGAAACAGAAGAATAAGCAGGTAATTGGAAATATCTCGTATTATTAATAACAGCAGTATTAATTCTAACACCATTACGATCCCATGCCGTACATATAGAAGGGAATGTCGCACTATTTAACAACTGATTTCCAATGAATGTCATTTCCATGGATGCTCTGACAGCATTTAACTTGAATTGATCATACATTCCCATATAATTATGAAAATATTGTGTAGAAGTCATCAAAGCAGTGACATTCCTCAACATTGTACCTTCATTTGCACCAACCGGAACATTAATAGAAACATCCTCTTGCATACTAATAACTACATTAGTACTATCTCGTTGCTGCATAGCACTCGCGAAATTACCAAATGCCTGCCGCTTCAAAGTTGTACGTTTTTTATAACCTCTTCTTGGATAATTACGTCTACTAACACGTCGTTGCATCAAATGATTGAAAACAAGATTCAATTAAAAGTTCTAATTAAAGAGTGATATAGTCTTTGAAAGTAATGAAGTAACATTACCGCAAAAATCGACAACTTTATCACCTGCGACTTTCCTCAACCCACCAATTAAGACAGATTCCAAAGCATCTCGACCAGCACTCAAATACGTATTATTATCAATAAACTCCATACCTTCAGAAATACCAGTATAAGCATATCCTACCAACACTTTAGCGGTATTATAACCAGGTACAGCATCAGAAATGACACTTTCAACTAATGGACCAATTACATTCTTAACTCCCTTTTTAACCATATTACATGCATAAGAAGTAATACCCGTTCCTTCAGCAAGAGAGCCAAGAGTCAAGAAAGTATCAACTGGAATGTTTTCAACACCATATCGTTTCAATGCATCCGTCTATGACTCTCCATCACCACGTTCAATAACAAACCCACTAACACCATCCTGAACAAATTGTCCTAAACCATTTAACGAAATTACACTGTCATGAGATGCAACCTCACCAGTCGTTGGATTTCTCCAAGATGACTGACAACGAACAAAATTATATGCTTCAACAATCTCAAGAGGAGATGAACGCAATTGCTTAAATCTCACTGTAATATACCCCATAATTTTCATAATATATGAACCATCAGTCTCAACAGTGGTATTGTCTGCAAGTGCCTGTTTATATGCCTCCTCAAAAACTCCAGCATCTGCTCCCTCAAATCCTCCAACTACAATCCCTCGTCTAACATGGACTTTTATTTTCACATTATCGAGAATAACATCCTGTAAATCGACATTGGCATTACTTAAAATAATTTCCTCTTCCTCTTGTGGTATTCCTTGATTACTAGTCCATGAAATACCACCATCATCAATAAAAGAAAGAGCATCTGTAATATCACCAGCACCAGTAGGAAGAGTAGCTTTAGCACCATACATAATAAAAGGGAAAAAACGTCCATTTTGATTCTCTGGAATAAATTTATATAACTTTCCTGCCATCATAGTAGGTGTTGTCATCATTTTTTCACTAGAAGACACACCAGCAACATCAAGTGATAGATGTAAACTAGCACCAGGCAACTTGCTCTGATATATAAAAGAAGAATAAGAAGAAAGAACATCAAAACTAGGTTCTACATATGAAACACCAGTAGGACTTGGAGTAAAAAAACCAGGAGGAACAGTACGACGACTAGCTAAACCATAAACAGTTGGAAAACTGAGCACCTGTGTGGCAATTACTGCTCCATTTGCACTGGTTTCTGGTTTTCCAATATAAAAATTCGTATTATAATAAATAATAAAATCTCCAGCTCTTCTGTCAGAGAAAAATTCCTTATTAATATCAGCTAATAATTCAGCCGCAGTAATATCCCTCCAATTTGTTCCATTATCTGTACTTACTTGAAGTGAAAGACTCTTTATAAAACATACTTTGAAATTCATTAATGTAGATACTCCTTTACTAACATCACCACAAATATGAACATCCATAATTTTAAATTGATCAAAACAATCACACATTTCTATAAATTGTCTAGAACCAGCAAGCATGGATAAAATCGAAATGGTGTGAACATCACTGTAATCTCTTCCCCCATTATGTCTCATTGCACCTTTCCATTCAGTTGACACTGGAATAGTAACAGTAAGCTCTTGTCTCTGATTACGTTTTGCAATATCGACATTGACTTTAGCTGGTCCATATTTCTTGTGTTTAAATGTTGAATTAGATGAAAAAGACATAAACTGATATTACAAGATCCCAGAGAAACTGAGAATATCAATGAACACGGAAGTGAGTATAAAAGACCTAATAAACACTTGTAATATCCTTCAAATGAATCAATACGACATTGTATTGGAAAAAGAAACAATAACTCTAAAAGATATACCAAGCTTACTTGTAATAAACAGAATAAAACTGACAGGAATTAATCCAGACAATGACGAAAAACAAATACAAATAAATGAACAACCAACTAATCATAAAATCATAACATCTGAAAAGGGTAACACTCAAACATGGCAATCTCTAAACATTCCAACTTCAACTGTGACATTTCTAACAATGGAAGATGACGATGAACATGAAATAATGATTACAGAAGGAAGTGGAATACTCTATGTAATAATGAGCTTCGACTTGAAAACACACACAATCCATTTCGGTGCATACGAAAATCAATGGTTCAATATCACACCTCAAAAAAACATAATAATATTTCCTTATAGATTAAATTATAATGATTCAACTAAACGTTTATTATTAACATTAGAAAGCGGGGGAAGAGAACAAAACTCGGACCAGCAATTCATTGAAATAGACTTGGAAATTAATGGAGGAATATCAGCAGTTTCTCCCGGTCTTTTTGATGAAATTTGGAATAAATACTTCAACAAGGAAGTTTAAACTTTTAATTGACTAATTATTCGATTCATCTCATTAAACATTATAACCAATGGAAACAGAGATAAACCTAACAAACCTCATAAAAACATGCAATAAATCAAACCAAAATTCACTTGAAATAATTTATGAGAAAGAAAAAATTATTCTAACAAATATACCAGATTTGGAAACAAAACAGTCAATAAATACTATAACTCTATCTTCTTATATAACACAGAATGGAAATTATACAATTCAAACACCAACTGATTATGATGGAATAAAAGAAGTAAACCTCAAAGTCGATGTACCTCCTAAAACAGAAGATATGTTAGTAAAATTGATAAACCAGAACGGTCAACAAACCTTCTTACCAGAACCAAATCATACCTTCAGTCATGTTTCAATAACAACAGATGTCAACCCTCCTCTTCAAACACTGACATATACATTTACAAATAACGGAAATTACCTTCTTAAACCAGACGAAAATCATTACGGATTAAATGCCGTCAATGCATCAATAAATGTACAACCTGCACTACAAACAAAAGACATAACAATACAAGAAAACACGACAACAACTTACACTCCGGATTCAAATTACTACGGGTTTTCAAAAATTACCATAACCACGAACATCCCAGAAGAAAAACATACATTCAATAAATTATATTATTCAAATGGAACCACAACCTCTCCAATTAACTATCCTACTAACATAATAGACCTTCCTACAAACACAGAAGAAGCTAGTTGGTCAGAACTCAACATTCCTTACTCTGAAGAAACAACACTCGTAAAATCTAGTCATACACTTAGACCGTTTTATATAACTCTACCAAGTTCTAAAAGCTGCCTTTCGTTAAAATTCGCAAATAATGGGAAATTAGAACCCCGATTCATATTTGAAGGAGAAATCTTCTTAGCTGCGGGGGAAAAGGCATTACTTGTTCCAATACTCGTCGCTAATGCAATAAATTGGGGCAGCATATTCTTTATAGCATCGAACTCTGATGACGAAATGGCACAACAAGAAGATTCATTGAAAATAGCACTCAGAAAAGATACAGCAGCATATTCATATTTGCCAACTTCACTTTTCTCAAACCGCTGGAAAGCACTAGGTAATTAAATTCTTTTGTGAATAATTTAATGTTGTCATTTGTACAGGAAAATAAGAGTGAAATAACAACCAAAGGGAAGTGCATGTAACGATTTCCTGATAACTGATAACATTAAATCGAGCAAAAGAAATCAATAAATTGTGTTATTCAACACACTTTAGTCAGAGAGTGTTTCATAAATAATTCAACACTGACTTTTGAGGTTCAAAATATATATATATATATTTATACTGACTATATATTTTTATTATATTTTATAATATTTTTATTATAATTTTACTATAAATTTGGTCAGTGAGTCAGCTGACCTTTCTATCTTTATTTTTTAGATTTTTTTGTTATCTATTCCATAATTCTATTTATATTTGATTACGTTTCAATACGTCATCATTCTATTTCTATAAATACATTTGAGTTGTTACCACGTCAAATCTATTTCTATAAATAATTATTACGTATTTACACGTCATCATTCTATTTTTAGAACATTCATAATCATTTCATTTTGAAATATTAATAATTTGTGATTTTCTCCGGAGAAAATCACAAATTATTAATATTTTTTCTTCTTCTGACATATTTCTATTATTTATATTCTTCTTTATATCGTTTAATTTCTTTTATTATATCTAATTCTTGTTTATTATCATTATGTCTTATTTTCTTCTATTTTCTTATTATTTATATTATTCTTCTATTATTCTTTTAATCATATTCTATTTCTTCTTTATTATTTATTATTTATTATTCATTCTTTTTATTTCCATTTTCTATTTCTTTTCATTTATTATCTTTATTTCAAATGAAAAATCTATACATTCTTATGTTGTTATGAATCAAAATATAATCTCCATTCTAATATTTACACAAATGAATTAGTATATACTAATTTCATTCTTTTAGATTGATTAAAAATAAATAATTATAATAAATTATAATAAAAATAATGTGATTTTAAATATTAGAGAGAATAATAAGTTATAAACACGAGAAACGTGAATAAATGATTAGATATGAAATAGTCAAAGAATTAAAGAATTATATTTTCTACAAACAGAATATGGTATAAAACAAAATATAAATAAATGATAAATAACCAAATGAATGAAGAAATAATAATATACAATATACAAATTAACATACTAATAATAAATTGTACCATAAAAAATAATTATAAAAAAGAAATAAATAAAAATAAGAAAATAAATATTTCATAAATTAAAATATATTAAAAAAGCAAAAAGAAACATGATAAATTTAATCAAATAAATAGACATTATAAAGAAGTAAATAAATAAACAAATAGAATAAATTTCATAATATTGAATAAATTGAATAAATAAAATAAATTATATATTTCAAAAGAAGAAAATCAAAAATAATTTGTTCAATAAATATAAATAATAATAATAATCATAAATAAATATAATTTTATTAATTCTTTATAATTTTATAAATAATTTAATGAATTAATAATATTTAATATTTTATCTATGTAAATAATATAATAATGTAACAATTTACAAATAAAATAAAAATATATTTAAATATTCTTTTCATTCATTATTTCATATTAACAAATAAAATAAATATTTTAATAAATATTAATATTTAATTCTTTTTATAAAATAAATTCTATGTTTATTTTTTAAATAAATATTTTAATTTATAACTCTTCTTATTTATTTCTTATTTTTCATATAAATTATTTATTCAATTATTCTATAGAAATATTAATATTATTTATAATATTTTATTCGATTCATATATTAGTTTATACTAAACATATTTATTTTATTATTCATCTATCAGAATTAATTATTAATTTAAAATTGTTTTATATAAATATTAATAATAAAATTAAAAATGAAATAAAACTTTTATTTATTATCAATAAAATATATTAATTATTATGTTTCAAAACAAACATCTTCTATATGATATTTAACTGCTATTACATCTATTATTTTAATATCAAATAGATTATTTCTTCTATTCTATATAGATTCTTATATTCATCAAAATGATTATAACATTATTTCATTAATTCTTTCATATTCTTGTTAACAATATCTTTCTCAATTATTTCATATGGTATTTTGATTCAAAACACTTCTATTAATCTTCTTATTTCTTTATTAATTAATCTTCTTATTCTTATTACAAATACTAATTATCATTACTTTTATCATTCTATTCTCTTGAATTTTCATAATTTATATCTTACATGTTCATTTTATTCATAAATATTATATTTATATTGCAATTTCTTACATTTATCATATCTATGATACGTGATATTTGTTCATTGAACATATCATATAAATGTCTAGTATTTTATTGAACTTCATTTATTCTTTATTCATATTTTCACTATGCTTCATTACTATTATCTCTTCTTTTCTACTCTTCTTATGTTATCTTTTTTTCGTTTGTATTTTCCCTTTATTCTTTTTCTCAGTTGATTTATTATTTTATTTTGAAATAATTTGTATTTAATTCTTAATTCTCTCAAAATATATTCATCTATTAAGTCATGTTTTCCATCTGATTTTTCTTTGTTACAATTACACTTTAATATTATATATTTGATAATTGTTGTTTTATCATATAATTAACACAATGATAATATTTTATTATATTTCATTGTACTTTCATTCTTCCTGAATCACCTTTACCTGTTCTTATCATTTTCTTTGTATATTTATTAATTTCATTATTTTATTTGTAATTTCTTTAATTGCCATATAACTATTAAAATTGTTTCTATTTTGCTTACTTTGATTCTTCTTTTTCCAATTCTTCAAACTAATATTGTTTGAATATATTCTTTATATATTTAATACTCATATTTATTTGTTTTTTCATATTCTCTTTATTGTCTTTTTTATTTATTCTCTTTCTTCAAACACTATCAAATATATTCATTAATCACTTTTCTTTCTTTTGATTTATTTCATCTCATTATTTAAATGTAAATTGCATTATTCTTCTATTATATTCTAATCATTATTTATCTTTAAATATTATTATTCAATATTAATTCTTCTCTTTTTAACATATAATCTTACTATACATTTTCTTTCTTTTTCACGTGTGTTTTATAAATCTCTTTTCTTATTATTTATTCTATTTTGATTAATTTTATTATATTCAATTTAATTAAAAATGATTAATAAATGAATAATTTGATTGATTCTGTATTGATTCTTCATATATAACTTTTC